CTACCAGAACCAGGCAAAGCTGTTAATACGCAGGATTGTCCCGTCATCACCGCCGCGATGCTCTCTCGTAGCCGGTTCATATTGCTTCCACTATCTCCTCGAATCTGGAATCTGCTACCTTATTCTTGCTGAATCTAATTTCCCTCGTCAGAAAGCTTTCGCATTTCTCGATGAGGTGCATAATCAATTTAGCAGTCAGTATTCCAACGACGTTTATACGGTTTCTCGACCATACGGCTTCATTGAATTTGGTGAGCTAGAAGTATTTGTTCCCATATTGTGGTCCCTTAGTATTATAATTTAAGTCATCCTAGCCTATTTGGTAGTGGTTACTCACCTTTAATTTTTTCTTTAATGCATTACTCTGACTATAATCATATACTTTGTATAAGTTTACGGGCTAAACTGCTCACACTTACGCTTCATATTGCACTTTTCTACAATGAATTTAACTGTAAAAGGATTTACTGGTAATCATCGAGTCCATCTCTTGTATACACAATTTAAAATCCGGTGAAATCCTTAAGATTCAGGAACAGCCATACCAATCGTCCCTCTCATCTCGTATCGTCGAATAGTTCAAGCAGGTTGCATTTAAACATTCATGATAACAGTTTGTTAGGAGCTACTGCCTCTTGTTTAACCAAACGATTTTATTATCTAGATCGTGACCTGCAGAAGTTACAGCAAAAGTACACAGACACCCGTGTTTCCTCAAATGTTACTCAGCTGAATGTTGCCTTGCAGGACGTACAGCGTATAATGATACAAAATATCGACGACGTCCTCCGGCGCGGAGAATCTCTTACCGGTAGTTTTTAATGCATACTGTACACTATCACTTAATCCATGCCTTTATTTGGTATTCATCGTTCAATTTGGAACACACATGCGTCCAAGCTCTCTGATCACTCCCTATTTTTACTGTTTGCCACATTATTATTTATTGCTCTATAAGGCTTCGACATTTCAGTTAAATGTCTCCTAATCGGCCCTACTTTTACTTTGACGGTCAATCTCACTAGTCTTACAGCAGCGCTCATTTGATGTGATGGAACGTCCTACCCTCATGATTTGAGCGGAATGAGAAACTCTATCCACTTTATCGTGTTCTAACTCACACCATTTTATCCTCATTGTTTAGCGTTAGATGCTCAGGCAAGTCATCTATCGGAGCTATCTCGAGGGTACCGGAATAATGCAGCTTCGTTAAACTTTCAAACATCTGTTGCAAAGTACCTGATAATTTTTGCTGTTGGAGTAATCTTTCTCTGCTTTTTGTATTTCCGCTTTCTTTGGTGACATTGCTCCCGCCTGTTTGTCACATCACCCCTATTCATACACGCAACCAGCTTTACCTCCGTTACTTCGATGTAAATCTGAGCAGACGACTATGTGCTTGGTGTTCAGTTACTCTATTTGCGAATACTGGAATCTGCAGCTTTTTCCAATTTACTTCTTATTTAAAACAATGATTTTGCAATCCGGCCCACTGGGATTTTATTCACTGCTAGGTTTATTAACCAAACTTGTCCCCTGTTACCACAGCATTTTGTACCGCAACATTGAGTAAATTACCATTACGTAAATTTGACAACTGGCGCACTTAAAGAATTGGATAGGATCATAATGGATTTTCTCGCTCTCAGATGAAATATGTGTGCACGATTTCGATGGATATTAAACTTTACATGCATGGATCCAGAAACTGCCTACATTGAAGGATGAATGCGGTAATTCCATAGTTACTTGTGCTTGCCACTTAAGGCTTTTCACGTCTATATGTTCGCCTTTGGTGCACAAATTGTGAGCGCCCAAGTGCACACGGGTCAATGCTTCGAGTTAGTCTCATAAGTCATCTGAGTGAGTGTTCTGAGTCTGACTTTGAACTGCACGTCAAATTCGTCATCACCTTCGATGAAAACGCTGCTTCTGTCAGTTTTAGCGAAATTGGAACTGTGCCATGTGGAATACAGATATTCGATAGGTCAAGCATTTATAAGCCTCAGAACCTTTACATGCGCTAAAATATTATGGTTAGTTGCGATGTGTATAACACTAGTTTGAATATGTAGGATAGTGTGCTACTGGCTCGGTATATAAGTCACCCACTTTGTGAGCAACATGACAATTGCCTAGACCAATTTTATAGTTAAAAAAAGGATATGCATGCTAATATGTAGGAAATCTGTTGTCAACCTGTTCGCTCCATGCTTGAAGACCACCAGCGACGTCACGGACCAAAACAGCAACTTTGTCTTCAACGTTATCACCGTTTACAAGAGAATTTAGATCAGCGCTTGATCCAGTTCGAGGAAGAATTCGTTCTAGAGCGTCAGCAAGTTGTCTGGCAGTCTCGTGGGACTTGTTTCCGCGATGGCACAAAAGCACAACTAACAGGAACAAAAGCAGACATCACTTATGGAAAACCGTGATTCAAGAAAGAATTTGGTATCCGCAAATTACCCGGAAAAGGTGAGTTCGGAGATGTTTCTTGAGCAACCCTGATGCGATCTCTTATAAGTGTTAGG